GTCCGTATTGCAAAATTCGGACCGCTCAGGGAACCAATCATAATGCTCCTTTTCATCGTGGACCAGTTTGCCATATAATAAATAACAACAACAACAACAAGCTTTATTAAGTCTTAGGTTAAAATACATAGATTTTCACCTCCCGCAAATTAGCAGGACTATTCGAGGCGGGAAGGGAAGAAAAACAAATTATAATAAGGGTAGCTAACAGTAGTGTTTTAGACTAGTAAGTAATAAAGTAAGTAAGTAAGTAAGTAAGTAAGTAAGTAAGTAAGTAAGTAAGTAAGTAAGTAAGTAAGTAAGTAAGTAAGTAAGTAAGTAAGTAAGTAAGTAAGTAAGTAAATAAGTAAGTAAGTAAGTAAGTAATAACTTAATATAATAAGGGTAGCTAACAGTAGTGTTTTAGTAAGTAATAAAGTAAGTAAGTAAGTAAGTAAGTAAGTAATAACTTAATATAAGAAGGGTAGCTAACAGTAGTGTTTTAGTAAGTAATAAAGTAAGTAAGTAAGTAATAACTTAATATAACAAGGGTAGCTAACAGTAGTGTTTTAGTAAGTAAATAACAATAAGAACATTTTGGTATATAAATGGCGTAGAACAAAGAAATTAAAGTGGTAATTTTATATGTGTATAAAGTAGAGAAGAGAAAGAAAAACTAACTAACAAACTAACAAAACGAAACAAACTAAACAAACAAAATTAAGAAAGAGATTTTAAGGCTATCTATGTGGGAATTGACTTCAACATAGTCGTCTTCAGCTGAAAGTATATCAAACATTTGGTTACGAATTTTTTCCCGGAAAATTGACTTAGGTTTGTCTCATAGGGTAGGTGCGATATTGTTCCAGACTAAAGTTCCAAAACGGGAAAATGAAGGTTTTTGAATTTCCAAAAATCAGAGGTTTCTTGTAAACAGTTTTCTACCGAAAACCCAATTTCCCGTCAGTTGTACTGATAAGTGGTGGGAAGTAACAAACGACAATAATTTCTTTATATGCCTTTCACTCGATAGATATTATAGGTGAATTGCTGTGATGTTGAGCTCGGTTTGTGGGGCAGAAAAATCAGTACTACCAAGGAAGGCTTAAGTCCCAACCTGGCTATATGTCCGTGCTTGAGCACATAACTGCTTTAATAACTCAATAACCTTGATATTATAATTTACAGAAGTACGTTGATATATTTACGATGACAATGGTGGTGCACCAGAGGATCCTGAAGATACTCTCTGTCTTAGTTAAAAATAACTTTGTGTCACGAAAAACAGCCAATGCAAGATTAAAACGACGTTGCAGTGACGTCACACGCAATGATGTTACAGTGGAACCCCGCCTAACGGCCATCCCGTTATTATGGCCACCTCATTTTGGCCCGGCGAAATTGCACATACTTAATAATCTCTTGGCTTCATAAAAACCTCTCTAATACGGCCACCTCGTAATATGGCCAACGGCCAGATTTAGCGATCCCCGTGCGCCTATTTTCTTTGTAATTTTACCTCGCATTACGGCCACAAACTCGGCGATATGGATTGAATATTGCAAATCATTGACACAATGACTCCGTATGAGCAGGTTTTCATAAGCAGGTTTTCATACGAATTTGCGTCTGTTTTCGGATCTTCCTGTAAATTGGTTCAGGTTGCCTTTAGTGCTCGTTCAGTTGCTTTTGTTGTACATTTACAATAACCCCACAATTACCCCGTATTACGGCCACCCCGTTATTACGGCCAGCTTTCCCGTAGATATCCGTATTAACGGGGTTCCACTGTAGTACAAATCTGGTCGTCCAGATTCAAGCCCTTGCTTCACATAATGCAACTAATTAACTGGATTTGTTATCTTTCTTGAGTTCAACTTATGTAAATAGCCAACCTGTCAGTTTGAATTAATCTTATTCAGCAGGTTTCTGTGGTGTCTCAGGCTTACAGAGGCTTACAGTACTTTCGTCGGGCAAATGTGTGTCAGATTTTCGATAGTCGTTACTGGTAGATAAAAAATATTATCGCTTTAGGAAAAAATAAAGCAGAACGAACATGAGTACTGTTAAAGCCTAACTTGTAAAAAACTATGAACATAATTTTGCCGAGAATTTCGTTCAACTTTTGTTTAATACCATCACCTTAACTCATTTACACCTAAACTGGCCATAACCGGTCAAGAGGAGACAACGGACGTGTACCACTTGTGACATCATCACTTCATCATCACTCATCATCACTGATATCAGCGACTGATAGAGTAGGAAAATGTCTAACAAATAATGCCTAAACGAGCACGAAACTTTGAAAATCACAAAAAAACGTGACCTTACCTACCATTGGCCGTTTTTATGCTAGAAACGTTAAAGTCATCTGGACGCATTTAACGTCTCAGACCAATCTCGTTCCCAGAGTCCTCGTTACCCTTGTCCAGCGGTGGAGCGGTCAACAAGGACCTCTGGGATAAAGCGATCCGCCTGACTTGCGCAGTAAGATCGGAAGTCTAAGAATCTTGGCGTCCATTAGTTGAAACATGGGGTCGAACACATGCGCAGTAGAGCCGGAAGTCCTAGAATCCGGTCGTGGCGGATCGCTTTATCCCAGAGGTCCTTGTTGGCCGCTCCACCGCTGGACAAGGGTAACGAGGACTCTGGGAACGAGATTGGTCTCAGACGTTAAGGGTATAAAAACGGGACGCATAAAAGTAGACGGCCAAACAAGATTTTTCTAAAAAAAGACTGGGCTCTATTCTCGGAAGAGACTGGACACGACTAAACACGGCGCCAAATAAATTAATATACGAACAAATTCACTTACCGGTTACCAGTTAAGGCGGGGGTCCACCTGAATGACATTTTTCCGCCACTTAACACGGGCTTAATGGAAATGTCTCGTTCACGTTTCAAGCAATCCAAAACTATATGCTCATCTCATGAATCTATGTCATGGGGTGTTTTGTAAATTTTTGGGTGATTTTTGGGTATGTTTGGGAGGTAATTATTTTTTCTCAAAGGATTTATAAAATTTAGGGAAATAAGAAATATTGAAGATTTATTGTAGTTTTAAAATTAGAATTTGAAGTTAAAAATGAGTAGATGGACACCACAATAGTCCACTATCAACCTTGGTGCTCTTGCGTGGGTATCAACTGTCTGTTGGTGTTCCAAAAATCATTTTCTTTCTTCTATCCCTTCTTTAAACCTCTTAAAATTTCATTGAAATTCACGTGTACCCCCGCCTTAAGGGCGTTACCGTTACCAGTTACCGTTTTTATGCTAGACGCATTTAACGTCTGAGACGTTAAAGTCGTCTGTTAAGTGCGTCTGAACGACGAACTTAACGACGCACTTAACAGACGTCAAAGTCAGGTCAGACATGAAATGCGTCGGTCTTATTTTTCGTTTTCATACTAGACGTTAACGGTCGTCTCGAGACGAATTTAACGTCTCAAGCATAAAAACGGCCATTGACACTCTTTGCTAAAAAAGTTCACTTTCCCCAACATTTAGGTGGAAACTTTTTTGTCCAACAAAACCACAAAATAAAATGAGAGAAAAAGGAGAGCATGAACTGCAAAAAAAAAAAAAAAGGAAAAGAAAAGAAAAGCCTGAAGTGAACGCATCCCAAGGAAAATATTGATTGCTAGTTGCCGTGTTGGGTGTAGCTCAAATTCATTTTCCCCCTAACAGGTACCATTGCTAAGATTATTTCCTTCTCAATATACTGAATGCACTTAAAGTGATCATGAATAATGTACGTCACACTACATCCTTAGCCTGAGTCACTTTGATCACGAGGTTTCAACCGCAATACTGCGAGCTGGGCTGGTCTTCATGCAGGGGATGGCGTCGACTGGTTGTGTGTCGCTATTTAAATTTGTAGCACTGTAGTCATTTCGATCATAACCTCACTGTGGTTGTTGGTGATTGAAGGATTTCGTTCCTTATTATTACCAACAAAGCTATTACTACCTTCCTCATGTTGTGACTGATGTTTTTGTCACAGAATCCGCTACATTTCTCGATCTGGTTCTGATCTGCAAGAAATATGATCTCTCACAAGGTACTACAAGCCGGCGTCATACACACAAGGAACTACAAGGAAATGACTACCATGAGTGAGCAGACCTCGAGAAAGGTGTCTGCATCTGTTAACGATAGATACATGTCCACTTATAAGGGAGGTTCCACATGCAGTTTTTCGTCACCTCCCGCCTCGAATAGCCCTGCTAATTTGCGGGAGGTGAAAATTCTATGTATTTTAACCAAAGAGTTAATAAAGCTTGTTGTTGTTGTTGTTGCAGTTTTCTTTAAAAAAAAAAATGGCCAGAAAAATAGCATCTCGCTAATAATTGCCATTGGAATCGGAGGGAGCCAGGTGTCTCAGTTTCTGTAGCTGACTATAGGAGTATTGCTATTTACCTTGCAGGATGGGATGCTAGTCCATCACAGGTTACCACCCAGTATTTTGTCAGGTTGAACTAACGTTCACCGGTACCCATTTATACTTCTGGGTGGAAAGAGGCATTGTGAGAGTAAGGTGTCTTGCCGCCAAAGAACCCGGCCAGGGTCGGACATTCACACTCTAACCATACATACACCTATTTCAATTAACGTTGTCGGATAGAAATGTTTTTAAAAGCCCGCAAAGCCCGCAAGACAAGACCGAAAGGTAGCATGGTTAAAAGTAGAAAACTGCTGCACGCACCGAATACTAATGAGAAAGTAAGTTACTTTTAGCCAAACTTAATTTCAGCAGAATCAGCTAGTGAAAAAAACATGGAAAAACAAATTATCTAATTCGGGGCAAACCAAATACATCACGTCCGAAAATAAAAACTTGTAGATTTATTTTCCACCGATATGCAAATTCTAATGAATACCCAGACTACCAATCGGTCTTGTCTTGTAGGCTTTACGCTTTCTATCCGAAAACGTTAATTGAAATAGGTGTATACAGTATTGAGAAAGATGACACAGTGACACAACCTAGTTATATAAAGCTCCCACATGACAACAAGTCTCCTGTAGCTCAGTGGTAGAACATCCGACCGGTGTGCAGAAAGTCATATTATAATTATATATTGCTTTTATAATTATTATATAGGTCATACGTTCGACTCCTGTTGGGGGAACTCGGAATTTTTTTCTGAGTAGCTTGTGTCACTGACTGAATAATATCTTTCAAATATTTCTACCACACTTTAGGATAATAAGCACAATAGCCTCCATTTGGCTTAAAAGTATGCACGGATATTTGTCCTTGGACATAATCTGTTCCTCGAAGCTCACAGTTTTCCTCCAGCTTCGCTCTCGGAAAACTGTTCGCTTCTCGGAACAGATAATGTCCGCGGACAAATATCCGAGCATATTTTCACACCAAATGGAGGTTATTGTTTATACATTACTCAGTTAAATGTCACTGTGAGTCTGGTGTTAGATCAGGGCAATACCATCCAGCTGATTTTCGGTTATTCCATTTGCCTGTCTCTTTGACTATGTAATAATATCACAAAGATAAATTAAATGTTGATTACTGTTGGACGAATGAAGTAAACGGACCACACAAGTCGAACACCTGAAATGTGTTTCGGTCCACTCTAGAAAAAATTATGAGGGAAACACATATATGTAAATGTATATAGTTTATTACTTTCTCTTTTTAATTTATTTGTTTCAAAGTCAGACAAAGCTCAGAAAAGTAGATACTCTTAAGAACATTCTGGATACAACTGTTGTTGTTGTTGTTGTTGTGTTTTTAAAATCACATATACGACACATCTATTAATCTACAATTCAGTACGGGTAGTTTCGATTTCTGCCGCTCGCACTCAAGTCTAGTCTTCGCTGGTTCCTCCCCAACAGGGGAGTATTTACTAGATACCCTAGAAAGCTTAAGACGGATTCAAAAATTATTTACTAAAAATCTACTCATAGCACGGTAACATTTTGAATACTATTTGAAACATATCACTTTAATTCACTTCTCCAAGTGACCCCGCAATTAAATTATCTAGCATTCTCGAGAAAATTAATGTCAAACCTCGTAAAAAAATGATAAAAACGCACGCCATTTTGTTTTGAACTGACATGCATGAAGCGTCTTTTTAATTAAAATACTGTAATGACCTATCTCGCGGGGTCAGCTTGGGAGCTAATTTATCGATAATTTCTTCTTAACTGTATTCAAAATGTTACCGTGCTATGAGTATTTTTTTGGTAACTTAATTTGTTGCACTTTTTGCTCGAACGTCCAGCGGAAATCGTCTTAATTTGTTAAGCTAATTTAGCAAGTTACATTCATAACTTGTTGCACTGTTGTTACCTTACCTGACTAAATTCAAAATAAAGTAACTAAAAATGTCGATATCTTTGCATTTGCAATGTGTCGCGAACGTACTTTTGAAAGCTATAATAAACCTATACTAATTTTCATTTCTAATTCTATTTCTATTTTTTTCTAATTCTATTTTTAGTTTTTCCAAAAGGCAAATAGAAAACACTATGAAATACTGAAACAACTTATTACGTGCGCTGTGATTGGTTGACAGCCATTTACCATAACTTTTCTATCAGAGTTAAAGTAACTACTCCAGGGTAACTCCAAAACATGAGCACAAATAACTCTCCTGGCATAGTTAAAGTAACTCCATAAGAGTGAGTTATACTAACTCTTTCTACTTTATACCTTTTTGAGCTCCTTAAAGATATAATTAAAAAAAAAAATGGAATCATCTCTCCCCCCCTCTTTTTTTTAAATTCACGGTATTATGGAGAACGTGAACACACGACGGTGAATTTTTGTTTCTCTATCTGGACTTGAACTCTGTCCCTGCGAATTCAGCTTTTGGACAGTTCGGCCATATCGGACAAATTGAACGTGTTGGAATAATCGTGAAATAGTTTATATTTGAACAGTTGCTACAGTTCAAAGCAGCACAAAACACCATACTTGTTGATGTTTTGAAACTGCAGAATTTTATAATTCTCGCGGACTCGCGCGTGTATGTGACGTCATATGTGGTGAGCTTCCCATTTCCGACAATTTTCCGAAGTTTGCCCGAACGCTTCCGTTTGTGGAAGCGAAAAAAAAGGCAGTTTTCAAAGTCGAATATCTCGACGACGTTTTGTCCAAATCGTTTCAAACTTAAGAATATGATTATTCATAATATTCCCTATTATTTCGACTTAAAACTAATCTTACTAAAATTTTGTTGCATTTGACCTTTAAAATAACTCCTAGTTAAGAACCTACAATTTTAACTCTTATATGGAGTTAAATGTAACTCCCTTTTGGAGTTATAATAACTCCAAAAAAAGTAACTCCACCGTGAGGAGTTAATTGGACTCTACTTGGGGAGTTATTATAACTCTCTGAACATTACTGTGTACGTTATTCGGAGTTCGATTAAAACAGCGTTCTAACAATTGCAATGCAAAAGCATGTTAAGTTCAACTTTGTTGATGGCCAATATGGCAGTTCATAAGTCTCTAGAGGCGCACAACTGGCTTGGAAATGCGGCCTGATCTGGTCTTGGTTAGTTGCAGTTCCTTGGGGGTTGATGGAGTATTTGATCCCGAATGAGTCACAGTTCCTTAGCAACCCCATCCCCCAACAACAAATAAAAAAATAGAAAAACCTACGCCTGTCCCTGCAGAGTCTCTTTACAGATCAGTAGTATCTACTATGATCTTTAGGAACATGGTGTCGTCCCGAACATAAGCGTGGTTGTTAAGTTCAGCCAGCGAGCAGAACATGGGATACCCATTGCGAGTGTTTGTTTCTCTTCTCGGTCTCTGGAAGGAGGAGCTGGTCGGATCAGGTCTGAAGTATTCGTGAACGTCTTCCACATTATTTTGATCCAGCAACATGATTGTGACCTATAGTAGTAATAGTAAAAGTAACTTTATTTAGACACGGTAAAAACATCAGGCCTTACAAATAATAGACTTAATAAAAATAAAAATAATTGAAAATACTAATTGAAGATGTATAATTGAAAATACTATAGTTTATAAATGGATGAGCAACCAGGCAATACTCGATTCTTTTATAATTACCTGCGATCTGAATGGCCAGCGGAGTAACGCGTCGCAATGGCCGCGCATGATACCGAAGAACACCGAGATGTGTGTACCTCTACCCATCCCGTCGCCGTTTAAATAGAGGCGTGCAGACATCTTGTATCCATGGCGACTGGTGTAGAAACACGGGCTGTCCAAGAACACCTGTTGCCCGGTAACTGCGTCGTTTCTTTTCGAGCATAATCAGAAATCTTCCACAGCAGCTCACCGTCGTAGCTCGAGAACTCCTGTTGTCTCACGTACTCCTCTAAATCAGCCAGGGTTACGTTCCTAAGTGCCAGGTTGTCCATAATGGACTCGATCCTTCGATCCTGCCTCCTGGCGCCCTCCTGGTTGGTATCAAGTTGTCGTTTAACGTTACCCACATCACGCCTTGCATCCTCTATTGTGCGATTATTCTCGACCAAAAGAAGCTCGTGGTCAGCGGTCCTGTTTTCAATGTGGGTAATCCTTAGTGTAAGCTCTGTGTTTTGTGAACCGCCATTGGAATCACCAGACATTTGGGCAGAAGGAGCTAACGCTGCACCTGACATATTCCCAGAAGCCACTTTTCTCTCCAGAGCGGTGATTCTTTCGCTGTGTTCTCGGCATTTCTCGCGTAGATCCCTGGTTTCACCTGCTTGGGTTTGAACTTGTGAGAGCAGATCTGCGATGACACCGTCATAGTTTGTAAAGATGTGCGGGTTTCTGGAAGCGACTCTAGGGTCGCGCGTCAAAAGTGCTTCCATTTCTCTGCTCACTCGCAGGGCGTGGTGTAGAACTAGGGTGGTGTGATAAGTGTTCTCCTGTTCCAGGTGCTCTTTCTTTTGGTTGTTGGTGAGGACCTGTCACAGAAACACGTGCAGTGAAAACAGATTTCATTGAATCCAGTCACATTATCTGAACATCAGAAAGCGATTGTCACTAAATGTAAATTAATCAAACATAAGGACAAATTATAAGAGCCATGATGCAAAGCAGCAAAAACAGGGGAGTTATGAGAATAAAGTAACTGATGAACTGTCCAAATTCTCCCAAGGTGCAAAAACAGTGAGGAGAATTCTGATGTTGATCAAGGGTTTGCTGCACCATGTGACCATATGTACAGATAACTACTACAACTGTAGCATGGGGAAACATTGCTCTCATTGCTTCTTTGTATCTTTTTAAGTTTATACCAAATTTAATTCATGAGAGGTCCATCTTGGCAGGAACCTGCCAGAACGCTCTTTTTCATCATGGACCAGTTCGCCATGTATAATAAACTGAATAAAGGGGGTCTGAAGCTTATTACCGCTGAATTCAAGGTGATAAGCTCCTGAGGGGGTTAATTAATGAAAGTGGTGCTTGGAAGTCATTGTGTTTGCTTTGGTTTTGCGTTTTCTCAGATTACGCACTCCAAACAAAACAAATTTATGTCCAGTCGGACGCTCTACTTCGGACACTCTATGAAGACCGTGTTTCGGTTAAAAAATACCTCAGTTTTAGAGCATCCAATCTGTGCGAATGGACATGGTCCCTGTACGCCATCACAGTCACCCATGACAGGATCTTGATGACGCAACAACTGAAATGTAAAGATGAGACGATTATCGACTCTGTAAGCATAAGGTTGCAATATCAGGCATCTCCTCTTTGTCAGTACTTGGTAAACTTAATGTTTTTTAGATTGATTGAAAAATACGTTCTCCTGAGTCCTCTCCTCATGCAAACAAGTTGTGTAACACCAAACTCTCAAAACCACGATCCGGCCCATGACTGCCAGACGTTTATCCAGGTTCCTGTAGCACGAAGCGACCAAGAGTATTGCTACTTCCCCTGGATGGGATGCTAGTCCATCACAGGTTACCCCCAACATTTTTGTCAGGTTGCCCTGACAATTTGCGGGTACTCTCACGGTGCCTCTCTCCACCCCTGCCCAAGGTGTCTTGCTCAACGACACAAAACAATGACCCCACCCTGGGCTTGAATCCCGGGTTGCTAGATCCAGAGTCCAGCATGCTAACTATTAGGCCACTGCACCTCCATTAAATTACATTTGGTCAATTACCACAATGTTTAATTCATTTAG